AAGAACACAAAATACTAAAAGAGGAATAAAGAAAATAATAAAAAAAATCCAAACAAATATATTTTACAACCTGAAACTTGGAGAAACAAGCTGCTCTTTCATTTCTTATTTATTAATTTTAAGTAAAATCATTCAGACCTAACTCATAAGAGATATTTCCCCTTTGAGAGTGATCTTGAATTTCTCTAAATATACAGTTACATAAAATATACACAGAACATTTTATTTCTATACCTGCACCATCACAGGAAGATTATTTTTAGCCTCTGAAATAACTTTGCAGAGTTCTGGGGTTTTCTGTATATTTTATGTTGAGGAGGTCCAGAAGCTTTGCTTAGTTGTAATAGGTCTCCATGAGCTAGCTCAATTTACTGCTCTCAGAAGGGGAAGAGAAGGCACGAGAGACTTAATAATGCCCTGGAGCAACATGTGAAGAAACCTTCCTTCACCTCCCCTTCCGTATATACTCCAGGTTTTCTGTGCATGGGTTTGGGCCAAATGACCAAAACAGTCCAATAGTCAGGAATACTTTGCCCAGTTGTGGTCTTGCAGCTGCTGTTCCTAGTTGCTGACACCTGAGTGACTAATTCTGAGTCCTTTACAGAGCTGTAGTGTTATCTGGCCATGGATCACCTATGGTGTGACCTACTGAAAATGAGCTGTCCTAGCTAGTAAATAGCTTGGTCCAGATATTAATGCAAGAGAAGATGGCTGAGGCTGTGTTTGTCTTGAGACACTGGGCTTTGTTATATTGCAGACAACAGCAGGTTCTCGGAAGCTAAGCTGCTTTGCCTCCAACAGGAGTTAGATTTTACGGAGCCTTGAGAATCTGGTCTGTTAGAGATATTCAAGTCTAAATTTAAACACATGCTTACATATTTAGCTGGCCTTGATGATGCTAGTCATGTCACCTAAGAAGAGGCTTTTCTTCAAAGCTTTATAGCTCTCATTTCTTTATGTTACAGGGGCTCGGCCCTAGTGAAGATTGACAACTGTGTTGTCAGTGGTTCCATACACCTTTTTGTGGGAAGACTTGCAGTTCATGAAAAAGAAAAGAAAGGAAGAGAACATCACTGTTACTGAAGATGGTGAAGGGTGTAGAGGGGATGCATATGAGGAGTGACCGAGGTCACGTGGTTTGTTCAACCTGGAGAAAAGGAGACTGAGGGAAGACCTCATTGCAGTCTACAACTTCCTCATAAGGGGAATCATACAATCACAGAATCATAGAATCAACTGGGTTGGAAGGGACCTCCGAGATCATCAAGTCCAACCCTTGATCCACTACTGCTGTGGTTACTAGACCATGACACTAAGTGCCACATCCAGTCTCATCTTAAAAACCTCCAGGGATGGAGAATCCACCACTTCCCTGGGCAGCCCATTCCAGTGCCTGATTACCCTCTCTGTAAAAAATTTCTTCCTAATATCTAATATCTAACCTAAATCTCCCCTGGCACAGCTTAAGACCATGCCCTCTTGTCATATTGATAGATGCCTGGGAGAAGAGACCAACCCCCATCTGGCTACAACCTCCTGTCAGGGAGTTGTACAGAGTGATGAGGTCTCCCTTGAGCCTCCTCTTCTCCAGGCTAAACAACCCCAGCTCCCTCAGCCACTCCTCATAGGACTTGTGCTCCAGTCCCTTCACCAGCCTTGTTGGTCTTCTCTGGACCTGCTCCAGCACCTCAATATCCTTCCTGAACTGAGGGGCCCAAAACTGGACACAGTACTCAAGATGTGGCCTCACCAGGGCTGAGTACAGGGGAAGAATCACTTCCCTGGACCTGTTGGCCACACTGTTCCTGATACAGGCCAGGATGCCATTGACCTTCTTGGTCACTTGGGCACACTGCTGGCTCATGTTCAGCTTCCTGTCAATCCAAATTCCCAGGTTCCTCTCTGCCTGGCTGGTCTCCAGACACCCTGTTCCCAGCCTGTAGCGCTGCATGGGGTTGTTGTGGCCAAAGTGCAGGACCCGGCACTTGGCCTTGTTGAACCTCATCCTGTTGGAATCAGCCCAACTCTCCAGCCTGAACAGGTCCCTATGCAGAGCTCTCCTGCCTTCCAGCAGATCGACACTCCCCCCAAGATTAGTGTCATCTTCAAACTTGCTGAAGGTGGACTCAATCCCCTCATCTAAATCATTAATAAAGATATTAAACAAGACTTGGCCCAACACTGATCCCTGGGGGATACCACTAGTGACTGGCTGACAACTGGATGCAGCACCATTCACCACCACTCTCTGGGCCCTGCCCTCCAGCCAGTTCCTAACCCAGCAGAGAGTGCCCCTGTCCAAGCTGTGGGCTGCCAGCTTTTTCAGAAGTATGCTATGGGAGACAGTGTCAAAAGGTTTTGCTGAAGTCCAGATAGACCACATCCACAGCCTTCCCCTCATCCACCAGGCAGGTCACCTGATTATAAAAGGAGATCAGGTTGGTCAGACAGGACCTGCCCTTCCTAAACCCGTGCTGGCTGGGTCTGACCCTTTGTCCATCCTGTAGGTGCTGTGTGATTGCACTTAGGATGATCTGCTCCATAACTTTGCCAGGCACTGATGTCAGGCTGACAGGCCTGTATTTTCCTGCGTCCTCCTTCCGGCCCTTTTTGTGGATTGGCATGACATTCGCCAACTTCCAGTCATCTGGGACCTCCCCAGTGAGCCAGGACTGTTGGTAAATGATGGAGAGCAGCTTGGCGAGCTCTTCCGCCAGCTCCCTTATCACCCTAGGATGGATCCCATCTGGTCCCATAGACTTGTGGGGATCCAAGCGGCTCAGCAGGTCACTAACTGTTTCCTCCTGGGGGCTATTCAGGTTCTTATGTCTGTCTACTAGCTCCAGAAGCCAGCTGTCCTGAGGTCAACCTGTCTTACTGTTGAAAACTGAGGCAAAGAAGGTGTTAAACACCTCAGCCTTTTCCTCATCTTTGATAACTATATTCCCACCCATGTGCAACAAAGAATGGAGGTTTTCCTTGCCCCTCCTTTTGCTATTGATATATCTGTAGAAGGACTTTTCGTTATCCTGCACAGAAGTGGTGAGATAAGGTTCAAGTTGTGTCTTCATCTCCCTAATTTTCTTTCTACATGACCTAACTCTATTCCTAAACTCTTCCTGAGTAGCCAGCCCTTTTTTCCATAATCGGTAAACTCTCTTTTATCCTAATTTCCTTCAAAACCTCCCTGTTCAGCCAGACCATTCGCCTTCCCCACCAGCTTGCCTTTTTGCAGACTGGGACAGCCTGCTCCTGTGCTCTCAAGACTTCCTTCTGGAAGCATGTCCATCCCTCCTGGACTCGTTTGTTTTCAAGGGCTGTTTCCCAAGGTACCCTCTGAACCAGTCTTCTGAATAGGCCAAAATCTGCCCTCTGGAAGTCCAGCGTAGAGGTTTTATTGATGGCCCTCCTTACATCCCTGAGTATTGAAAACTCTATTATTTCATGGTCACTGTGTCCCAGATGGCCTCTGACCACCACATCTCCCACCAGCCCCTCTCTGTTTGTGAAAAGAAGGTCTAGTGGGGCCCCATCCCTGATAAGCTCATTGGCCAGCTGGAGCAGGAAATTATCCTCTATACACTCTAGGAATCTAGAGGAAACGGAGGGGCAGGCACTGATTTCTCTCTCTGACGACCAGTGATAGGACCCAAGGAAATGGCACAAAGGTGTATCAGGGGAGGTTTAGGTTGGATGTCAGAAAGGGGTTCTTCATCCAGAGAAGAACCAGTGGTTGAGCACCAGAACAGTCACCCCAGGGAAGTGGCCTAGCACCAAGCCTGACAGAGTTCAAGAAGCATTTGGACAAAGCTCTCAGACACATGGTGAGATTCTTAGGGTTTTCCTATAGACAGGAGCTGGACTTGATGATCCTTATAGGTCCTTTCCAACTGAGGTGTTCTGTGATTCAATGATTCACTGTAACTGCAACATCACTGTAGCACCATCTGAACTAACCTAGACAATCATGCATACTTCTCACAGAGCTTAGTTTTCATTGGAGCCATGGCTCCTAATTAACAGCTATCAGCTGGTGTGATTACCAGACATTTTGAGTTAAAACTGTAATAGGTTGATTTTCAGATCCTATGTTATCAGACACTTCCTGTGTTGAAAGAGGAGTTTAGACAGGCTTTAAGAATCAAAGAATTGTGTAGCACTAGGTACAGTTCCTTATATCCCAAGAAGATAAAGAGAAGCACTCATGCTTCATGAGATAGAATGACACTGTCAGATTGAATAGGAGTTTTGACTCCCATGAGAGTCAAACACAATGAATCACCTGATGAAGTGCTGGAGAATTTGGCTCAAATAGTTTCTTTGAAGAAAGTATAAATAAAGCTTTATGCAGTGTATATTCTCTGAACGGTTAAGAGGTTCTCTTCCCTTCAGATTTACCACGCTATCAGGAGCACAAAGGGGTGCCCTTTTTCAGAGGGAGAATAGAGAAATTTTATTTTCAGGAGTGGACACTAAGCACAAGCAGCACTTGAGAATGAGGCTGAAGGCTCTAAACTATAACAGTGCTCCCATAGAACATAACTTTATATATAGATCCCTTAGATCTACATGAATATGTAATCAGGTACCATCAGATTTCTGTTTTATTTTGATTGAAAAGGAACCTTCCTGCAAACATATGAAGAAATATATAGATATACACAAAGAACTGCTTCTCTGCTTAAGTCCTGCATTTGAAATTTCTCTTTACCTGTGGATGAAATAAGCACAAGACTTGTCATGCAACATGGGCTATGAACTCAATGCTCAAAACCTAGATGAACAGTGCAAGAACAAGGTGAAATATTTGTTGAAGCCTTTTGTCAGCCAAACCCAGGTAATACGCATTACAGATTTACACCACAAGGGAATAACCATCGTGTATTTGAGATCATCAAAGAAGAAGAAAAAAAATGTAGTAAGAATATTTCTGCATTAAAGTTATTTCATTGCTATGTAATTTTCTAACTAAATTGACATCCAGAACCTTCCAAGACAACCACGTCTCTAAAATGGCTTTTCTTCTGAAATCTTCATTTGCATCTAGCATTTATCTAACCTGTGATGCTGAAAGAAAAAAGAGAACACAGCTGTCATTTGAGAGTTCACACCCCTCATTATGAACTCCACTGACAGCTGTGGCTAGCTTGAACGCTCCGTCACTAATCCAAGGGAAAACAAAGTTTGGCCAGCCTTCTGTTCAGCATGGTTTATTCTCTCTACTTTTTCCATGCTGGCTTAAAATTCCTGACTGATGTTAAATAATCTGGAGGAGCCTAGGTTACTCCCTCAAAAATCTATATGGGAGGAAAGGGACAAGGAGACAATGGTAAACCAGCCACAAATACTGTTGTCTGTGGCTATAGGTCCACAGAGCAGATGGCTTATGCAGTGAATGCCTTTGTGTTTCCTCATGTGGATGATTTGGTAGCAAATGACTAAACCCTGAGTGTAGATACATGACTCCAGAGACATTTGCTCAGTTTATGGGGTGAGGGAAAAAAGCAGAATTTATATTTCAGAACATATTAGATATTTCTGAAATACTTGATGGTACATATACTGTGTGTTTAGTGTATGCATTATGCCTAAAAGTATTCATGCATGTATATTTACTTTTATAATTTATAGACCGGTTACAACACCAAGCTCTCTTCCAGATGTCAAGAATAAAACTATATTTCACAGATATTTTTACAATTGGTAGTAAATCTGATAGATGGTGTGAGTACTGTGAAAAGTATCTGACCTTGAGCAAGAAGAAAATCCCACTGGAAGACTTTTATCTCAGAAATAAACAAAGTGTGCCTGCAAATGGTTGCTTATTTGCAGCTGAAGACAGTCTGGATCTACACTATGTTCCCTTTTAAAATGAAAGAAGATGCATGCTTAACCCAAAAATACTTTCTTTCATAGTGAATCGACCAAGGTGTAGGGCTGGCAATTTTTGGAAAACGCCTCACCGCAGTTCTCCAAGAATGTACACATCAGCATTAAACAGCCACATCCAACTAAAAGACCAACATCAGGAAGAACACCAGTACTGTATTCTGTAGTATACACCATATGTTTTCATTACCCAAAAATGTTCCACATGGCTCTCTTTCACATGTGCCAATGACGCTTTAAGGAGCCAGAAGACTCTGCCGGTAAAAAAGAAACCAGTTAGCAGTATCAGAGATAATTAGAAGTTAAAGGTAGGAGAAACCACCACAATCATCTATGGTATTCAGCCCACAAAAAAGAAGGAATTCTTCCAAGTCTATACTATGATGTCAATGCATAATTGTAAAAATTAAAGAGACACAGACAGAATGAAAATGGTTTTGCAAACTTTTCTTGTCTTGAAACTCATGGTTGGGGGATTTTCTGAGCAGAAGGCAGTAGATACACCAGTACAGGTAATGGACTTCATAGTTCTTCATTTCAAGATTTTCAGTCACTCATTTACGAAGAGATCATTTCTTGTGGTCTTTTAAATTTCTACTTGTTTTCTTCACTTCTTGTGATACAAATCATGTTCATTAATTGTTCTATATTACCTTTCACCATGCCATTTGTGATATGGAGTACCCTCCTCTTCTGCAACCTCTCTTTTTCTACTCTGGCCCATCTTCCTTACATGAAATTGTTTCATACCTATGGTCACCATCATCACTTTATATGTAACTTTTCCTGTCCTTTTTTAGCCTTTTCGGGGCAGGACTGCACACACTGTAGGTGAAATAATTAGAGATTTACACAGTGGCATAAAGATAAGGTTTTCTGAAAGTCGTGAAAAAGGGCAAAACACTGATTTACCCACTGTGGAGCAAAAAAGAACTATTTTCACAGATAGAAACAGTCATGATAATCTGTCCTTTCAAAATATCAGTAAGTAGAAAACCTTATTACAGAAAAGAATATGAATCTGTTAAAAAAACCCCAGCCATCAAAAGCAATATACAATCCTACAATGAAAGCATAGAAAAAGCTGTATTCATAAAATCACACAACTTCCCATTCATTTTTCAAAATTTCCATAGGAGCAACACAGAATCTGAGTCCAAACATTTACATTCATCTTCCATCAAATTCAATAACTTATGTTAGCAGCAAATTCATGAGAGTTACAAGCGTTCCACCTTTGGAAAATATTTGGTCAATTCTAAAATTTAATCCTGGAAACATTAAAGCTAGCAAATGAGTCACTTTAAAGGAGGATTTTAAGCATCTAATGGCAACCATGAGGGCCTAAGTACTAATGTCAATTCGTTGTTTCTATATCCCACTGTTTGGCAGCAGCAGGTCAACCTTGAAATGCTATAATGCTCACACAATCTTTCCAAGATATAAAAACACAGATCAGCAAGGGGATGTATTCTTCCTAGAAATAAAAAATTACATTTTTCATATAACAACTAGGTACAAAAAGCATGGTGCAAGCAAACTGAATCTAAAGATACCTCCATGTCTTCTCAGTGACTCTACAATCTACTACAGCTTTACTGTTGTGCTTATTGTGATGTCACAGGAGTCTCTGGATGTGTGATCTTACAAGTATGCACTATTCATGGCTATCAGTGCCATTCTCTCCCTTTCTCTTTATCTCCAATGTTAATTTTTAAGAATAAAATGTTTTTATTTATGACAAAAAGGTTAGTTATAAAAGTTGGATACTAAATTGTTCAGTAGAATCTTTATCCTTTGATTATATCGTTGGCCAAACAAAAGCATTTTCATTCATTCTGTTCCAAATTAATTCCCCATTGCAGCTGACCTTTTTTTATGCTTTGTATCCCTGGGAAAACAAAAAATGCAGTGAAACTGGTTAATAATTTCATAATATGTATTTCAAGCTTTTGGCCTAGCATACACAAAAACTAAAACAAAAGTCATGCAAATATATAAAGGCTTGATGTATTCTCTTTCTGGAAAACAGAATTAATTTTTTTTTACTGTAATTTTAAATTAATTTGATCATTTTTGCAATAGAGAAGATGTGCATTGTATTCTGGAACTTTGCATTTAGCTTGTTAATTTAGCTTTAAATGTAGTGGCATAATAATTTTATGCCTGAATATTTGTTTTTTAGAATGATGCCTTAATTGCCCTATTTCTTTATTTATTCTCTTTTTTTTTTGAAGTTATATCATCTGCCATCTGTTTCTCTCTATAAAAATTTAGTGTTATATATTGTCAAGCAAACAAAAAAAACCCAAAAAATGGCATAGATACCTTCTTATTGTGTTCTTTTTAAGCTACACACTGCTTAGTTGTTATAATTAGTGCAACTGAAAATATTTTCTGCATATTATCCAAAGTTCCAAATATAAACACACACTGAAAAGCAGTCCTCATGCAGAGCACATTTTAATGCTTTACATCTTTGTTTCCATACTTAAGGAGCTGGATCAAAATCTGGAGCTCTAAACATATCTTTAAACTTTCATTCATTTCAAAAAGTCCCCTGAATTTGAGGTACAGGTTGGGTTTTAACATCCATTTTTAATTTCAAATCAGTTCTGAAATTTCAAAATTCAGAGAGACAAAGAAAGACAGAAAAAGGAAACGAGTGCAAAAGGGAGCCTGGCTTGGCAGGAATTTCATATTCTGTTGCTACAAGAGTTTGTTTTGCAGGAAAGCAGTCAGTAAGATTAACCACATTATAAACTTTCCTGAACATACAGTATATTGTAGTAAATTTTAGTATTATTCATAATCCCAGTATGGTCTTTTGTAGTGCATAATAGTTTTGGGTTGATTTTTTTCCCTTCCAAATGCTCTATTCCTCGATACCCAATACCTATCCAAGCACCCTGATACGTAATATGCAACAGACTAAAAGGGCAAGTTTCCCTGCATGGTTCCAAATGAAGTTAAAAGGATCAAAAACTCATCTTTAACTTCATACTTCATTCTCTTGAACTTCTGCCCTGCACAACCACAACAGTGGCTGGGGGGAGGACACCAAGTTTCCATGCATCATTTCTTCTATTCTCTGTTCCTGTCGTCCCTCAGTTCCTTGCAAACAGATGCATCTTTTCCCCATCCCCAGCCTCTTTAGTCTTTAGCATCTGAGTATATCCACTGTGTCCTTTAGGGTAGCCTCCACATTTGTTGCTCATAAAAGGAGTAGGCAGATACAGGTGGACAGAGAAACATCATGCCTTGCTGGGGCAGTAAAGTCTTTCCCATATTGGCCTCTAAAAAGATGTGGTGACATGAGGATTAGAGGTGGAAGAAGTATTTGCATTTGTGTGGCTTTATGTACATTATCTAATGGGAAAACAAGTGCTATGTTGAGCACTGGATATATAGAATGTCGCTGTTGCCTGTATGTGTTCTTTCTTGTCTATATTATATTGCTGTTTTCCAAAGGCTTTGTAAATTATGTTCACAGTGCTTTTCCAGACAAAGATCATAAAAGAGTAAATTTTTTTCTTTTTTTTACTTTTTTTTCCCTTGTTTTTTTTTTCTTATTATTTTATCCAAAGCAGAGAAAACTTAATGCTCCTTTCGCTCAGAGGAAATTATAGAACAGTAAATGAGGCTATTGCAGTGAGATGACTTCAGATGGTTTCCTCACAGCTCCACTTAGGAGCACTGGAAACATTCCTACACAGTTTTCTCTGACCTGCATGTTGTGAGCAATTTTGAGAACATGATATTGTCCCCAAGTACTATAAAACTAGGAAATGAGTGAGGGGAATCCTGACTGCCTTTGCCATGTGTGACTTAGTTCCTTTGTCTTAGTATGACACACCTCACCCTCCTTCTTTAGGAGTTAGGTTGGATTTTTCTATCTCCCCTTGTTTCCACCAGAGCCCTGGTACAGCAAGTGGTATTGCACTTTGGTGCAAAACTACTCAGTCGTTAGAAGGGATGTATGCCAGTGAAGACATTCTAGCTTTTACATTTTTTATCACACTAGGGCTATTTTTTCTTTCTTTTGCACTCTTATTATTAACCTTTTTATAGAAAATTGGCTTACCAAGAATTTATGAATTAGCAAGTCTATTATAATGATGAATGGTAATTACCATTTAAATCCTGAGTCATTCATCAGCTTGTTCACCATATGTCAGGTGATACAAGAGTGTATGAATACTCGTCTGGTGAGTATTTCTCAAATGATTGTTGTATTTGCCTGAACTTTGGACCTATATGCCAAAGACTAGGTAAACGAAAATTAAAATGGTAGAAAAAGAAAAAAATTGCATTTAATGTAAGAAGAGGAGGAATGACAGCACAGTAGGAGGCAATACTGGTAGTGAGACCTATTAGCATTAGACAATTATAAGCATTTAAAAAAATTAGGAAGAATAAATATGGATTTGAAGTTTTATAAGGATACACAGAAAAACTTGTTATTGCAAATGAAATCCTTATATAAGATTTCTGGATAAGGAATCACAAAGAAAAAAATCACATTTGGGAAAGAGATTACCAATCAGCCTAGTCTAGCCTGGAGCTGCTTGGGAATTTCTGCTCTCATCAGATGTTTCTTTAGGAGTGTGAAGGCAGGTAGTGGATTCTGCCAGGATCCCAGAGAATGAGTATCTATACGGCCCAACCAGAATTTCATGTGACTCTACCCATCTCCTTCCTTGATGGTCTTTAATGACAGAGGAAAAAAACTGAAAGGGAACAACAGCTGAGCTGTCACTCAGCCCCCAAATCCAACCTGAGGTCTGCTAACAGAATAGTGTGGAGACAATTCCACTTCCTCTGTCAGTGCCAGACATCCCAGGGGTTCAAATATAAGATTTCTGTCTCCAGACTTCTCACTGCACCTTCTCACAAAGGACAAAACAATATAAAGGTGTCCTCTGGGTTCTCCACAGAAAAGCATCTTTTTAATTATTAGTGAAATTATTGTAACAGGAATGGATGCACATTGTATGCCAAATGACAAAGACTCTTAGGACAAAGTTAACATTAATGATTATAACTTCAACTATTTCTCTTCATTTTGATGTACTATATCTCTCTCAGGTTTAACTCATAAACTGAAGCCAACTTTCTGAAAGATCATTTAATTCTCAGACTAGGAAGAAAACACTAAGTATTAAGTCTGGTAGACAGCAAAGGCTAGATCCAGAAGCTTAATGGTGCTGAGCTGAACAGAACATAGCTCATCTGCTATCCCAACAAAATACAGTCTCTTTCTCTGTGCAGGTTGGGAATGTTCTCTTGCTATAAGCAAGGGAACACAGGCAAATA